CTCCGGGCCGCCGGGGGCCTCCCTCCCTCGCTGGGGGAATTGGGGGCCGGGCCTCGCGCATGCGCCGCGAGTCCCGCACCCCGCGGGGCGGGGGGCTGGGAATTGGAGTCTTTCTTTCGCCGGCGCTGGCTCGGCTTCCTGCTTGCCCGCCCTCCTCCCCCGCCGCGGTGGCAAGCTTCCTCTCACCTTGGCGGAGGCTGCCGGTGGCCTCCTGGGCACCCCGCCTGCCTGCGCCCGGAGCGTGGGGACCGCGGCTCCACCTGCGCGCACCACGCGTGAAACGCACGGCGGCAGCCCCCAGAAAGTTCCGTCTCCGCGTGCGTTCCTCCAGCGAACCTTCCGTGTATTCCACCTGTTTTCTCTCTCTTTTTCTCTCACACCGTGTCCTGCAGTGGTCTATTTATTTCTACATGGGCAGTTCCTGTGAAAGTTCCAGAAGGGCCACCCTTTATTATCCACGAGTTCCATCTTCCAAAGGAGGCTTAGTAAATCAACTGGTATTTATTGTACGCCTGCAAAGTTTAGATCTACTCTGAAATCAGTGTGGGGAGGGGTGGCGGGGTGGTGGTGGAAGGCACTGCTTTTTTCATTGAGTTGCCTATTTGGGGCAAGTCATTCTATAGAATCAGCTTTTGCGCTAGCCTGGTCTTGCGTTGTCTTGGCTGACTGCTCTGTGTGATACTTCTGAAGACTCACGGACCTGGAATCAAATTCAACTACCAACTGAGTGATTTTTTTTTAATCACGTTCCTCAAATTCTTTAAGCTTGGGGACCCCCAAATATAAAATAGGAATAAAATGGCATCAGCTTGCCAGAGATACTGTATCATTAAATAGGTAATTCCTGTGGAGGACTAATCGCCATGGGTCTATAAAAGAGCCACCGAATAAATAGCTACTATGAAAGTCTTGAGTTTCTTACTGTTTTTTTGCAAGTAAAACCCACGTGGGAAAAACAAAAAACAATGTAGTCAGCTTTCATAAATAAACGTTAGGACTTAAAGAACAATTTTAATGTTAAAAAAATACCTTGTAGGTCCTCCCTGGTGGCGCAGTGGGTTAAAGCACAGCACTAAGAAGCTAAAGCCACTACTGCATGAGTTCGAATCCCGCCAGCCCTGGAGGAGATCCACATGGCGAGGCAGACCTCTCCTGACCCACCCACTGCTCCCCTCAGCAGTGTACTTCGTCACTCTGCCTGTTCTGCTCCCTGCTCTTTCTCTGGTGAATCCTCTCACCCTCCACATCTCTGGCCTGTACCCAGGTTCCATATGAATAAATAAATAAATCTTAAAAAAAAAAAAACCTTGTAAAAGTATAAAATACTTAGGGATAAACTTACCAAAAAATGCAGGCTCTTCATGAAGAAATTAGAAATAAGGAAGGCCTGAAAAAATAGGAAATAAAAATACTAACTTTATCTAAATTAATTCTTAGTAAAATCCTATGGTTGGGGCTAGATGAGGATGGGGAAGGAAGTGACACTTTTTCTAACACTCAAAAAGAATAATATCTGAGAAAAGCTAAGGTTTTTGTATTTTTTAAGGGGGGGGGAATTAGACCTCTTGCCAATCTTAAAATGTATTGCAAAGCTGTAGTTAATTAAAATTGTGTTGCTACAGTATAGATGGACAAGCACCAGAGAAACAACTAAAAGTCCAGAAATATATACAATATATTAAAAAAAATTAACTGTGTGATAAAGATAGCATTTTACTTTTGTGGGGAAAAGTATAAGTTCTTTAAAAAATTGTAATAAAGTAAAAATAAAAATAAACAACTATAAAACAGAGATGTTCTGGGGATGGGGGTGGAGATGGAGAGGGGAAGAGGATCAAAACTGGGATGGAAAGAGCATAGGGACTATGGTGATGGCACATGGGTGAATTGGTGGCGGGAAGTCCACAGGGATTACAACGGGGGTGAAAAAATATACAAAGTGAAGAGTGTTATAAAAAATATACATGGTATTTAAAAAAGAAATTAGGCTGGGGAAATGAGGAAAGAGGAGGCTAGTAAAACTAGGGATTTAGTTAAATCATCACCAAAATAAATGTAAAACCCCAGAGAACTATACACAACAACAATTCAGAAGATAATTAAAAGAAAGCATGGGTGAATGATTTCAAGAGGAGGCCCAGATATTAAGGCATAAGAAGAAACCAGAGGAAGGAAATATATTTAACATTTGAGTAAATATGTAAGACTTAGATATATCAAATATCACCAAAAAAACAAGTGACAGTTTGGAAGAAAAAATTTTTTATAGATTTTTTAAAAAAGATTTATTTATTTATCCATACAGAACTGGGGTACAGGCCAGAGGTGCAGGGGCAGTGAGAGGCTTCACCAGAGACAGAGTGGGGAGCAGAATAGGCCCACTGATGAAGAACACTGCTGAGGAGAGCAGCAGGTGGGTCAGGAGAGGTCTGCGGCGCCATGTGGATCTCCTCCAGGGTAGGGATCAAACTCATGCTGAAGTGACTTTAGCTTCTCAGTCCTGTGTTTTAACCTGCTGCACCACCAGGGAGGGTCTGGAGAAAATGTTTTTAACAAACTCAACAAAAGGTTGTTCTACTATATAGTTCTCTTGAAAACATAAGTACTGACACTGAAATGGAAAAAAACAGAGACATCATGAAAGGAAAGATTGAAATGGATAAATACCATTTTTAAAATACTCATACAGACTAGCAAAGATATTAAAACCATCTTCAAAGCGGTGGGGTACATCTTTATCAAGGATTTTTTTAGAGGTAATCCACAAGGTTGATAAACAGTTGAGAATATAAATCAATGCCAGCTTTCTGAAAGACAGTATAACTCAAGAAATCTATTTATCATTTGATCCAAACATTTACCTCTGAAAGTTTATTCTTTTTTTAAGATTTTATTTATTTATATATACAGAAGTGGGGGGTGATGAGAGAATTCACCAGAGACAGAGTGGGGAGCAGAACAGGCAGATTGAGTGAAATACACTGCTGAGGGGAGCAATGGTCAAGACAGGAGTGGTCTGCTGTGCCATGTGGGTCACCTCCCTGGCTGGGATTCAAGCTTGTGTTGAAGCAGCTTTGGCTAACTTCATAGTACACTACCCGTTGCACCACCAGGGAGCATGAAATTTTATTCTAAAAAGTAAATTTTATTCTAAAAAAAATAATAAGATCAGTACAAAGATTTACTTCACTTCAGTTCAGTGTTTTTTATAGTAAACTACTAAAACTGGGACTGGTTAGAGATTTAGTTCTTAAAATATTTTTTATGAAAAGGAATACTGACTTGGGAAAATGTTCACAAACTATTACTCTGCTGCATTCACACAAGAAACTGAAGAAAACTCATTAACTGTGTAATCAGGCTGGTAGGATTAGAAAATTTTAATTTATCTTTTATTCTAGTATATGTGCATTTTCTAAATTTCCTCCAAGAAACATGTATTATGTTCATAATTGGAAAAAAAGAGAAGAGTGAATGTAATTTTGAAACAGTCAGATAACATACAAGAGAGGCTTTCCGCTATAATTCAGTTTTTGTTTCTGTCTTCATAGCAGTGTTATTTCTTAATAATCTTTCTTTGCAGGACATACTGAAAAAAGGTCTTTCTTCTTTAATAATTTGGAGTTTTCTTTACTTCAGCTGTTTATCAAGAGTCCTGATAGTTAAAAGAGACAGGCAGAAACCCTGGGCTTGTATTGTCCAGGATCTTTTTTTTTTTTTTAAGATTTATTTATTTGTACATACAGAACTGGGGTACAGGCCAGAGGCTCAGGGGTGGTGAGAGGCTTCACCAGAGACAGAGTGGGGAACAGAACAGGCAGATCTATGAAGTACACTGCTGAGGGGAGCAGCGGGTGGGCCAGGAGAGGTCTGCCACGCCATGTGGTCACCTCCGGGGCAGGTGGGAATCGAACTCATGCGGAAGTGGCTTTAGCTTCTGAGTGCTGTGCTTTAACCCACTGCGCCACCAGGGAGGGCCCTGTCCAGGATCTATTTAAGAGGATCTGAAACACCCTTCACCTTCTTCAGCCTTCAGTGTGTCATTCTCAGGGGAGCTCTGGTGTCTCTGAAGAATACAAGTGAGTTGCACTGGTAAATTGGTGGCTTTGGAGGTGTCACTGCCCACAGGTATAAATGGCTTCCTCTGGTGGAGAGGTGGGGTGGGCTGGAACAGATAAGGCAACTAGAGTGACTTTTCCTACCCACCCCATCTCGAAGAACCAAGTCAAGAAGGATCATTCATTCAAAGCCTAAATCTTTATAAAATCTTACCACAAGCCAATTTCTAGGTTCCTTCCACTCTATCCCAGAAGCTCACAGATTTAAAGCAAGAGCATCCTACTTAGTTATGATATTCCCAGGTATCAAATAAGAAAAAAAATTTTTTTTCTCTGTTCTTTCTAATCGTTCTTCCAGGGCAAATCTAATAACATAGACTACTCACGTTGCACTAAACTCTCTTCTTTTTTGCACCCATGTAACAGTAAGCTCTGATATTACAGTATATATGGTAAAATGTCCGAGGTCTCCAGCTAATTCCAGGGCTCCTTCTCTCCAAGGAGAACCAGCACTTGGTACTTCCTTCCAAAGCCATCTATGCTTTCACTAACACAGACAGGCAGCCCTCTTGTTTCCTGCCGAGGTGATAGGTAGTGTGCATCCTTCTCTCCTGATATTTTCCACTTAGTGCTTTCATCTGCTCCACACAGAGCTGTCCTGTGGCTGCTAGTCCTGCGGTCGGAATTCATCATGATCTTGAAACAGGGTTATAAAGGTACTGTAACAGGGTGATCCCCAGGAAAGTGGGAGGTTC